TATGATAGGGTAGGGTGATTATCATCTTATTTTATGTTTGGTTTGCACTTAAATGGAGGATTGGATTGCAAAGAGGATTAGTTATCTTATTCTAAAGTGGCCTCATATGCCCATCTGCGATTATTATTTAAAGTGTGTAAATGTGTATCTAGTTACATAATTTTACTAAATTTCAGCTAATATGTACTTTTAGAACCTTTTTAACCGAAATTACTGGAAAAGAAATTGACAAAATCTTTAGTGTATTGTTGAGGACACTGTTGCATAAAGGCGGAGTTTGTAATCGCACACTATTGTCCTGCTAATAGCACTAAAGAAGCAAGCTACAGGGTCATTGTTTGTTAACCTTATTGAATTTGGTCTCTTAAATGATCAATGTTCATCTAGCTTCAAGGGTTTATGTACTAATTTTAACAGCTAGGAATTGTAGGATGCTACTTGACATCCTGTGCTGAGGCACTCATTAGTATCCAAACGTTATTGTAAATGTTTGTAATGATTCCAATGGTTTTGGATCAGTTCAGGTTTATGTACAATGAGTTGTGACTTCACATGATGAATTCCGCCCAACACCTTGTATGGTAGAATCATTTATGCTCAATCTTCCTTTTAAGGAGAGGAAAAAGTTATTTCTTCATCTCTTATATGAGTGACATTAACTTGTTTCCTTAATTTGTCTCTTGATTGAAAATAAAGTGTCCTTTTCCTTTTGTAGGTATATGATGTTACTTCTTATTTGGATGAGCACCCAGGAGGTGATGACGTAGTGCTTGCATCGACAGGTAGTCTTTGCTTCCGACTGATAATTTTGTTATTAATTTTGGAGCTAAATGTGTTTACATTATGAAATAACGAATCCCCAAAATAACATGCTTCCTTTAAATTCTTTGAAGGGAAAGACGCAACAGATGATTTTGAAGATGCTGGACACAGCAAAAGTGCGAAAGAGCTCATGCAGAACTTTTGCATTGGTGAGCTTGACACATCCTCCCCAATCATCCCAGAACTTGAAATTTCCTCCAAGAAGGAAACAACTGATTACTCTCAGAAGCTCATGGACTTGACAAAGCAATACTGGGCCGTTCCTGTGGCAGTTGTTGGCATATCTGTGGTGGTTGGGTTCTTATACCTGCGTAGGAAGTAAAGCAATATGATTTTTCCCCTATTGGAAGCTGAAAGGGAAATGTTATCCCAAATTTTGAATAATAGGTGGATAAGGATTAAGAACATTTATTCATTGTTATTTTTAAAATCTGAAGGTAGGATCTGATCAATTGATTACCTTCATTGGTAATACATGCATGATAGCATTGAAAAACAGGGAAAATTCTATACATTAATACAAGGGGGACAGGTTTTTGTTGTCAAGATTGTTTGTTTCGAGTTTTGAAGCAGTTAGATGTAGGAAATTGGTGATTTTGTGGGTATACGCCCCTCAATAATAAAATACTAGTTCATGAAAGGCATTTCATCCTTGGCTACATATACCTCTCTAAACAATACACGTAAAATCGTAAGCAAATGTAAATATATAGGCACTTGGAAATCTGAATGGTTTTTCTTGAAAGGCTAACGCAGAGGAATTCTTTGCAGCTCAACATCTGGCTCTTGGTTGTACTGTTGGTCTCCTGCTGTTTCCTCTTCTTTCACTTCTAGGAATGGTATTTCTTCTTCTTCTTTTGGTTTTCCTATGATATTATCATAAGAATACCGTGTGGAGACACAAGCATAGAGAAAACAATTGAGCAGGGCCACCATGGTATATGCGCGATAGATAGAATCCAACCGACTTTGGTTTACACTATCACCAAGCCAAGTCTCATCATATCTGGATGAGCCGTAATAATCTAGAAAAGCTATGAATCCTATGTTAAGTACTGTTCCAAACCCGGTGAGTGAGCTAGTAAATACAGGTCCATATCTCCTTGAATCTGGAGCATAATGACCAAAGAAATCTTGGATGCCATCACCAGCTAATCCTTCCATTGCACCCAGGAAAAAGAACTGCAGAACCAACCAGCATGCGGATATGGGGGCAGTAGCATTCGGATCATTTGACTGGTCCTTTTTACTCAGCTTTTAACCTTGTAGACTCAACTGATGATGCAACAGCGCAGCATATTATAGAAGCCAGCATAC